GAATAAACAACAATTATATGAGTTCATAAATTCATATACGACTCGACAAATACCGAAATTGTCCGAGGCCTTCACCATAAGGCCAAGGACTCATTATGGTTCCAATCCCACATCAACTTAACACATTTTAATGTGATCTCGTTTGAGTTTGCACGAACAGAAGAGATCGATACGTAATTTAATTAAAAGGCATAATGGCGGAAAAATACACGACCTTTACTTGATTGGCCATTAAATCACGATTTTCAAACCTTGGCAAATAAATACATGACCTTTACATTCTTGGCAACTTGATACACGGATTTAACGTCCGTCAACGGAACGCTGACGTGGGATTGACTCAGCAAACAGAAGCCAAATCATCAGTTAAACCTTGGCAGTTTAATACACCACCTTTGGTTTTTTGGCAACCTGATGCACAAACTTACTCTATTTTGGCAAAAAGCTGCCACATTATTATTTTATTTTATTTTTTATTTAAATTCATTTAATTTACTTTTATTATTTTTCCTTATTTTAATTGTACTTTTATTATCGAAACTATGTTTATAATTTAGATATATAGTGATTACAAACAAAAAACAAATAAAACATATATATTATTTTATTTAATTTTTAATTTATATGTTTTATTTGATTCTAGTTTAATATTTTTCAATATTTAATATATTCAGTATTTAATTAATAAATTAATATTAATATAGTAAATAATGAATAATAAATAATAGAACATATATATAGAATTCAATAAAACATATAATTAAAATCTAATATATTTATTTATTTAGATAAATAATTTTACATGATTTATATTATATGTATTTAATATATTTATTTATTTAGTTTATTCGTATATTTTTTAATTTAAGTATGTTAAATAATAATAAATGTTAACTTTATGAAATCCATAAATTAAATAAATAAATAAATAATTATATAATTAAATTACCTCATTTTATTTAAATTTTATTATCATTTGTGTTGTTTTTTAATTCTATTTTACCTTATTTAGTTTCAAACAAATTTTATTTAAGCATTAAATGAATATTTATAATATAAATATAATTATTATTTATTTATTTAATTTTCTGAAGTTTACTTTTATTATTATTTAACATACTTAAATAAAAAAATATGCGAATAAACTAAATAAATAAATTAATACATATAATATAAATAATGTAATATTATTTATCTAAATAAATAAGTATATTAGATTTTAATTATATGATTTATTGAATTCTATATTATATGTTTTTTTTATTATTCATTATTTACTATATTAATATTAATTTATTTTATTATTTATTAATTAAATACTGAATACATTAAATATTAAAAATTAGAATAAAATAAAATATATAAATTAAAAATTAAATAAAATTATATATATTTATTTATTTTTTGTTTTTAATCACTATATATTTAAATTGTAAACATAATTTGAATAATAAAAGTAGAATTAAAATAAATAAAAATAATAAAAGTAAATTTAATGAATTTAAATAAATAATAAAATAAAATGGTGATGTGGCAGCTTTTTGCCAAAAAAGGGTAAGTTCGTGTATCGAGTTGCCAAAAAACCAAAAGTGGTGTATTAAACTCCCAAGGTTTAACTGATGATTTGGCTTCTGTTTGCTGAGTCAGACCCACGCCAGCTTTCCGTTGACGGACGTTAAATCCGTGTATCAAGTTGCCAAGAATGTAAAGGTCATGTATTTATTTGCCAAGGTTTGAAAGTCGTGATTAAATGGCCAATCAAGTAAAAGTCGTGTATTTTTCCGCCATTATGCCTAATTAAAATGAGGCTCAACATATACATCTCTATACCAACATGGCATTTGATAATATATAACAAATCACATAAACACATAACACGAAATTAAACGAGACAGGGATCGAGCCTCGATACCGTTCTCGAGAAATGTGCAAGAAGGGGACGAAGGAAACGAACGGCAAACACGCGGCGGCGGCGCTCGTCGGCTACGCGCGGCTCGCGACGGGCTTGTGGCGGAGGAGCGTTCGAGGAGGAGCAGCGGCTCTGTTGGTCGCGGCGGAGGAGTTGCAGGCAGTGGTCGGTCGCTGGAGGAGGGCTCGCGACTGGTTCTACGCGCGAACGGGATCGCCGGAGGAGGAGGGCTGTAGCGATGGTGCGAGGATGGTGATGGTGGCGATCGTATTTGCTAGCGAGAGGGAGAGAGCGATGGTGATTTTCTGGCGAGAGAGAAGAGAATGGCGGCGGCGTTCTTATGTGAGGGAGAAGAAGAATGAGTGCAGGGGGGTTTTTCTTGACGAGAGAAGAAGGAGCAGATTTTCTTGTGTCTGCAGGCGTGAGTTTAACGAGAGGGAAATGAGAGAAATATATTAGGCTAGGGTTAATATTCTTGTCTCACAAGAAACACACACACACACGCACAAAAAGGGGTGGAAGGCGAACCGGGTCGGGTTCGGTTCGTACTGGGGCGCCGGTTCTCTCGGGCGGGCCGTACGGTTCGGGCGAGTTAAAGACTCGGTTCTCGTACGACAATTTTTAAATAAAATTCAGATAATATATATGTATTTAATACACATATTAATTAATTAATAATAATAATAAACATTTAGACATTTAAAAGACATTAGGCATTCAATAAATAATAATAATAATAATAATAATAATAATAATAATAATAATAATAATAATAATAAATAAATAAATAAATCCCAAATATTCCACAAATAAGGGCATTACAATCATCATCCCCTATCCCTAATTAGCCACTCATATGGAATTCACAATCAACAAGCCATCATATTCATGGATTAGATGAAAAGAGAAACTTACGATTAATAGAAATCCGATATTCGAATCCAATGACAAAGCTAAATCCAGAAAAATAAAGAGAGAATTGAGCAAAAAGAATGATCAAAATCCAACTTTTTTGAGTAGGAGAAAGGAGAAAAACAAGTTTGGGGATTATTCCCACGAGTCTGGGGGTCGTTTCAATATACAGAGCTCGAAAAACAGAGCTAAAACGAGAAAAATCGAGCAAAAATAAAAACAGGGTCGAACGGGTCGTGACTCGCGAGTCGCAAGCCTGCCGGGTCGTGGGGTCGCTGAGAGGCTCTGTTAAAGTCGCGAGTCGCGACTTTGCGCTCGCGAGTCACGACTTTGCTGCACTGCATGACTTTACGTTTCGGGATCGTTTGGGCTCGTCCGAAGTCGGAATTGAGTTCTGTTTTTTGCTACACGTCGCTAACGAACCTATCTATTCAATTATGCTCCCAAAACTAATTTTTCCTATTGAGAAAATTCGCACGAAGCTCCCGACCTACACACCATAAACGACAAAACACAAAGAAAACCGAAAAAACAAACGAAAAACACCTAAATACTCAAAATGAAAGAAAACACATAATAAAATACGAAACGGACTAAAAACGAAAGAAACAACCTAAAACGCGGGAAAAAGAAAAGCAAAACACGCACGAAAAATGTAACAAAAATGGGACAAAAAAATCTCATTTATTTGAAGGAAGCATAGGTTTTAAACCCGGATCGGGTATCGACTCAGGCAGGTCTCCAGGTCAACAGGCCACCGGTTCAATCGTCAGGTCACCGGGTCAATTGTTGAACCGAATAATTAATTTTACAATTTTTTAAATTATATATATATAATATTTTTGTCATATAAATATACATAAAAGTAATAAAATTATATATTTTATATATAAAATATGCGCATCAAAGTACTAATAATATGTATCTTATGATAAATATTTATCATATAAATATATGTACATAATTTTATTTTTAAAAACATATATATATATATAGGCCGGGTAAACTGGGTGACCTGTCCGTTAGCCCGGCCGAGTTTTGACCGGGTTTGACCGGGTCTATTATTGCCCGGTCCTAATAGACCACTCAGACCTGTTCCAGCTCTAGGTTGATTGGGTCCTGGGTCGACCCGCCAAGCCGGTCTGGGTTGGAAAACTATGGAAGGAATGACAAAAGGAGATCCACATTTGGATAAGATTGCTATGGATTGGGGACCCCTTCATTA